TTCATCAGGATGCACTAATTTCATTTTTCAAATTTTATAGGAATAGGAAATTGATTCCTAAAAAGGGAATAATCAGTGACTTGAGATAGGGAAAATGTTTAAGAAGCTAGTATTAAACGCTTAGTTGGTGATTTTGTAACTCAGCTTACTTAATTCTGAGCGGACATCAGCCCCGACCTCATTCACAAATTAAGAAAGTGTGACAATGCAGACCATTCAATGCTTTTTTATTGCAAGTTAAGCATAGTTGATGACCTGGGCTAAATCAAGACTCAAATTCAATATCAAGATATCTATTTAGTCTAAGGCAGATTAAAGTTGAACTAGACCCAAACAGTGATCTAATTCTCTGTTTATTAGACGAAACTGTACTAATCTAGATCTAGCGCAATCTAACTTGGTGAGGAGACTTAGTAAAGTGAGAATTTCCGAAAATAATTCATAAAGAGCATAATAAAGAATAAAAAGTTAATAAGTGGGCTAAAAGAAGTTAATTAAAGTTATAAAGACCAAGAAGTTGTGGCCTCTGGTATGGTCGCAGTTAATTTATCATTTAATTATTTTTATGCTAAAGAATGACAAAAGAGGTACTTTTGAGAATATATGTTCATCAAAAGAAGAAATAAGCGCCGAAATATTTTTGTTAATAGTAAAGAGAAGTAAATTGTAGAGATAAGGATAACAAGCAAGGTCAGAAAAATATAATATGGATAGGAAATAAGCTACAATGAAAGCGACTAACCAGAAACTATCTCCTCAAGTTGTTCACTTATCTGTATTCTTCGCTTGAGTCTAGCATTTAGGTCATCATGCACGCGAGTTAGTCGTTGACTTATCTCACTGGAAAGATCGAAGATACAATGGGCCTCCTCGCTAGCCTTCAGAACGAGTTCTGTCGGTTGAAAAGACTGTTCTGCTAGTAATGGACAGGACACACTGACCTCGGAAGATGGAGTGGGAACAGTACTACCTATGGCGATGAGTGAGAGGAATCTCTGCTCCAGTTGGCTAATCAATTCGCCCAACTCGATAAGCAGGCCGTAGCTACGTTCTACTTGGAGAAGACGAGCTTCACGATGGCAGAAACCGGCCTGCAATTTGTGCCAACGTTCGACAAGAGATCGGTACAGCCGAAATTCCTGTTCAAAGCGGCCAGTCGGGTTGGTTTGGCACCTGCGAGATGGCACAACCGGAGATGAAGGAGGGGAAGGAGGTGAAAGTAAGTAAAATTCCTCAGATGCCTCCAACAGCGTTTCGAAGGGAGAACACGGATCGTCGGTGCCGGTTGGAAGCCTTGTAAGTTCCATTTCAATGGCCACCGGTGCTGGAGGAAGCCGCAAGAGCCTTCCATCAGGCAGGCCTGCCTCTACAAGGCAGTGCAGGTGTCGACCCAGTGAAAGCAGACGCTGATTGGCGTATGCGTTGGCGTCAGCTATGAGAGCAGCTTGCTTGCGACGAGAATTAACTATTCTGTAAAGTCTGTCGACTAGCAGGCAATGATTCAGACATGTGCTAGAATTTGACTTTGAATTATCTAAAAAAAGAAGAGAAGTAC